CTTAGCATCTACAGTCTAGAGTTTATTAGTCACTGTATAGTCGAGTGCAGAATCCAAATCAGCTGACCAATCTACCATTTTTTAGGTTCTACTCAGCCACTGGAGTCGCTGGAGTCACTATCACTAGAATAGAATCATTAAATATGGTTTTAGTATGAGTCTCAATTCTAAATAGTGTCTGAAGTCTCGAGTCTATGCTTCAGAGTCAGAGTCGACCTGTTGTCTAGATTCTAAACATTTAAATTCAGTGTTCAGCAATTTTTTATATACTTTCATCGGTCACTGTGGAATCCTGGAGACATTCAACTCCAGTTTCAATACACCTAATCTACTCAGTCTTTGGTACTGCCGCATTGACAACACGCCATTCGGAGTATTTATGTTGCACACTGTAACATATGATGATACTGCCTACCTAGTATAGGTCCGAGGGGCAACCTCGGTGCAACTTGCAATGCTAGTGTGGCTAGTGACTAGTGTCGATAGCTGTACTAGCAAGATTCGCGGTGCGCGCATACAATGCGCGCGGAGTGCGTGTACAGTGCGCACGGTGTGCGTGTACAGTGCGCACGGTGCATGCGCACGGTGTGCGCGTACAGTGCGCGCGGTGTGCGCACAGTGCGCGCGGTGCACGTGTACAGGGCGCGCGGTGCGTGCTTACAGTATGCGGTGCTCGTGCGCTTCATGCACATAGTCCGTGCATAGTCCGTGCGGGGCGCACAGGACGTGCATGCGAGTGTTATGAGGATTCCACACGAAAACATCTATATAAGTTCGCTGAACTTGCTTTATTTTCTTTCGTAAAACTGGTGTATTTGCTCCAATTTTGGTGTCTGTTGTTCTTCACAGTTGGTGTTATGTTCTCCAATTTTGGTGTCATTTCTGTCAAAATGGGTGTCGATGTTATCAACATTGTTCTTTTTTTACAAACTCGGTATCATTTTTGTCAACATTGGTGTCATTTCTTCCAAAATTGGTGTGGTTTTTGCTTTTTTAAAGTAGGTGTTTATGTTCAATCTCAGTGTCATTTTCTTCAAAATTGGTGTCAATTTCCAAACTCTGTGTGATTCTTGAAAATTGCTGTGACTTGTTTCAAAACTTGGTATCCTTGTTTCAACATTTGTCATTCTATTAAAAATGGTGTCTGTTTTGTAAACTTGTTTTTTTGCAATATTGGTTTCCTCTTCTTTCAATTCTCGTCATTTATATTTCTCAGTTGTTTTAGATTGGTTGTCATTTCGTCTCAAATGTAGTTGTTCTTTGCTTTTTGGTTTTTCTATCAAATTGTGTTTAAACTTTCGCTGTCCTTCTTTACAAAAGCATTTGTTTCCAGGATTGGTGCCCTTGTCGTTCAAAGTCGAGGTCCCTTTCTCCGCACAGTCTGAAAGTCCAATGGTTCCTTTTCTCAAACTTGGAGTCGTGTTTGATTGTTTACTTGGTGTCCTTCTAAAATTGTGTCGTCTTGTCTTTTCCAAACTGTGTGCAACCTTGTTATTCTAAAATGGTGTCATTTTCCAAAACCGGTGTATTTGTTCTGTGTTGGTGTCGTTGTTTTCGAACCGTGTATATTTTCAATATTGGTGTCGTTTGTTTTTTTTTCAATTTTGTGTTGTCCGTGTTTGAGACTAGTGTATTTTGTGTTTTTGTTTCCAAGACTGATGTCTGTTTCTTCGCAAAGTTGGTGCGTGTTTCGAGAAGTGTGTCCTTTTGGTGTCACGTTTCATCTTTCTGAAATTGGTAACGATTTTTCTTCCGAAAATTAATTGGTGTCGTGTTTTTCCACAGGCTGGTGTCATGTGTTTGCAAATGTGGTGCTTTGTTTCTCCAGATTGGTGTTTTTTGTGTCAAGACGGGTGGCATGCTTTAAAGCCTGCTGTGCTGTTATTCAATATTCGTGTTTTTCTCAAACTAATGTTTTTTTTCAGTACTAGTGTCTTTGTTACGCAGTCTGGGTGCCGAATGCGCAAAGTTTCAATGTTGTTGTCCTTTTTTCAAGTTTGGTGTCCATTTTTCAGTATTGGTGGCGGTGCCCTTTTCAACGTCAGTCTGGGTGCCGATTGTGCGCATTTTGGAATTTGGCGCCCCTTCTCCGAAACCTGGTATAAGCTGATCTCTGTCTTCCGCACAGTCCGTGCGCCCAGCGAACATTTTTTTAATTGTTGTATCGGTTTCATAATCGGTGTCCTTGTTTCGAAATTGGTGTCCATTTTCCGTGCAATCTGGGCGCCCACTACGTACATCCCAAGACTCGGTGTTGCTGTCCAAAGTTTTCACAAGCTTGTTGTGTTATACAATCGGTGTTGTTTTTCAACATTAGTGTTTGTTTATTTCCGTGCATTCTGAGCGCCCGCTGCGCGCATGTTCAGATCCTGTTGATTTTGCCGGGCGTTTCCAAACTTGGTGTCTTTTTGTTCTCAAATGCGCATCCTTGTTCTGTGATTCTATGCGGTCTTGGGCGCCCGTATAATAAGTGCATTTTCAACACTGGCAAACCTCTCAGCGATGTCAAAATTGGCGTTTTGTCGTCTAAATTTAGTATCTTTGTTGTTTTAATTTCTCCAGTACACTCAAACTCGAAACATGGGCTAAACTTGCGTCTGCAACTACCAGCACTTTCAATTTTGATTTAGAGTTTAGAAGAGGGGTGCCCTTTGGTGTCTTGTAACGATTTAGGCGCAGGACTCTTTACTTTAGATCTAATTCGTATGAGTGTTTCCATGACACAGATTCTAAATTCAATGTGTTTCAGAGATTCGTCTCTCCATGAGTGTTCAGGCGTCAACATCACAGCACATATCACGAACATCACCGTCATGACTCAACATTGCATGGTTTGTTTTTCACGAAACATCGTTTTCCATACTAGGTGTCCTTCTTCTGCACATGTCGTTGCGTGCAGTGTGCACAAAAACAGAGCGCACTCTGTATGTACGCCCCCACTGCAGGCGTGCACCGCAGGCAATGTACACGTATACACTATAGAGATACTATAGTTCGCGCGGTGAGCAGACTGCAAAACGACACAGGGCAGGGACCCGGGCTTCATCCGTACAAGCCGCGCGCACTGCACGTACACGCACGGCGGACAACTGGACAACTGTACGCACCCGCCGCGCGCACCGTGTGCACACACCGCGCGCACTGTACGCACACACCGCGTGTGCACACACTGCGCGCACTGTACGCACACACGCTGCGCGCACTGTACGCACACACCGCGCGCACACGCTGCGCGCACTGCACGCACACACCGCGCGCACCGTACGCACGCACCGCGCGCACTGTACGCACGCACCGCGCGCACTGTACGCACACGCCGCGCGCACTGCGCGCACACACCGCGCGCACTGTACGCACACACCGCGCGCACTGTACGCACGCACCGCGCACACAGACTGCACATACATATTCGCCTCTGCGTGCATGGTTTCCATAGACTATATGCCAGAAGCCTATTGAATTTAGCTAAATGTATACATACAAATTATGTGTTTAAACACTTCAGAAAAAGATCGAACGTCGATCGATTGCGTGAAGAAGCAGATTAATGCAGAAAGTGTTTGCACCAACTATGACAAGATCGCCCCCATAGCAGATAGGTTCTCGCCGTCTCTTTGCACATTTGGCTCTTGCTTCAAATCACTAAATATGGCGTCCATTTAACAGCACAAACAAATTAGGGGATAATGGCCATCCTTGCCTGATGCGAGCCATCTGACTTCTCCATGTAGATTCGTCTACACCTGTTCGTAAATTAAACTACGGATTGCAGTAACAAGCTTGAAATCAGATTCTTTGGCTTTTCAGGTATGAGAAGCCGGCGCAATGTTATCTTTTGCATGAATCTTTGTCGAAGCAAATGCCAAAGGGTGTGATCAATCAAGTACGACCGGTTCTGTACAGTTATATGTTGAATGGTTTCTTCATCCGGGTTCTCTGCAGGAGCTTTCCATAGCATGTTTTCCGAATAATCGGCTGCTGTTGGGGTACAGTTTGGACGGAACATGTCGTCCGTGAGCATCTTCGAGTTTGGTACAAGATGGTGAGAATTTGGCTCTTATCTTCTTTAAGCCGTCCCATTTGTAACCTGCCATTGTAATTTCCTCTAGTTAAATGGAACCGTCATGCCGAGCAAGGTGACGGTAATTTTGGTAATGTTGGTCAGCCGGTTGACGTGGGGGTGAGCAAGATGACGTAGCGTGGGGGGCAAAACTATACGAACTCTTGGTAAGTCTTGGTCTGGGTATTGTCGGGGCTCGGGGGGATCTTGACAGTTTTGGTCAGCAGGTGGTCCAAGATATTACCAACCCCTGCCGGACACCGAAAATCCCTCGCCACTACAACGATTACGTGAAATCTTGGCAATCTGTGTGGGGGGGGGGGGCTACACATGAACTCTTGGTACTCTTGGTCTTCGAATTTTTGGGGCTCGGGCGTGTGTGTGTGTGTGTGTGTGTGTGTGTGTGTGTGTGTGTGTGTGTGTGTGTGTGTGTGTGTGTGTGTGTGTGTGTGTGTGTGTGTGGTTTTGCAATCTTGGTAGTCTTGGTCAGCAAGTGGTGCAATTGGTCGAAGATTACCAAGATTCCGCCCACCCCGGACCCCGAGAATCCTCCCCCGCTGCTGCACGCGCCGGGGCGCCCCAAACCCAAACACTAGACTCTATGAACCATGGGTTTTGTCGCCAGGAATCGTCGTCTGTGTTTGAGAGTTGCTTTGCACAGGGCAGTTTTATCTGCTTTCGCGGGGAGACAGAATAGCCAGAGATTACCTCGAGAGGCCCGGAGGTCTTGGAGCAATAGCTGCAATGCATGCTCAGGTGAGGTTTCCTTGTTGGATGCTCAATGCGTGTTGGCTGAGGTTGGCGCGGCTCTGAGATTCAGTGCTTCGTGAGTTGTTGTCTTTTTCAACCGTCTCGACGGGATGTTTCCTCGAACGGTGCTGCGGCTTTCCGCAACAAACCTCAGGACCAAGCCTCGTAGCACTACTGCTGTACTTAGTTTCTAGCAAGCGAGTCTTCCTGCAAGGAGCAGACCGCGGCTTGCTTCGTAGGTGGGACTGTCCTCGGAAATAGAGAGGCTGTCCATGCCCGGGTCATACTCCCCAATCTCCCGGGCAGCATCGTAACCCATTTGCTGGTGTGCGAGCATCATGACCTTTCGCTTTCAGCACCCCGAAACGACAGCAGCAGCGAAGGTCTGCAACGCATGACAACTGAGTACCTCACCACGGTGTTCAATGAGATCAGGACACCTACGCCGACGTCCAGAACCCTGCCCAGCGGAATTTTCCGACACATCGCAAGCGTCCCCATCGCATCATATCGCATCAGTGTGCTTTCAACTTTCAAAAACAAAAAACAAATCTCACACGGCACTCGGATTGGACCTGCGCTCAGCCCGCGCCAGCTTCGCTCCTGAACTGCAAATCTGTCGGCTGCTCTCATGCGACACAACACTGAGCACGTGCATGTCTTTAAGCGAAGTGCTGGTGTATCGGCAGAACTTTTGAAGAGCAGTTCCTGTCGGCTCCTGTCCAAGTGGAAAGCGAAATGCCCCGACTGCACATGATGGCACAGCATATGCTTGTCTGAAGATGTCTTCGCATCCTCGAGATCCTTTTCAATATCGCGAATTTCCAACTCTGCTTCATCATCCTCTATGTCCAGGTCCAAATCTCCGGAATCCTGAAGTGCGGAAAGCATTTCCTCAACGTGTTCGTGCAACTGTAGCATCATGCAGCATCCTTGTCGGAGTACTCGGTCGGATTACCTGAAGCACTTCCAGCGCAAGTAGAAGAGAGTCTGCTTGTGTCGGTACATACAATGTGTAAGACGATGCGCTGGTGCGTGTGTGTGTGTGTGTGTGTGTTTGTGTGTGTGTGTGTGTGTTTGTGTTTATGTGTGTCTCTTGCGTGTCCGGAAAGAAAGCAGGAGATACCATACGCCGTGCCCTTGTGGCCGAAGACCTGCGCGTGACATCGTGTGTCGCTCCCGTTCGAGGCGTGAAGGTCGTGGTCTTCACTGAAACGATGAAGGACACTGTTGCGCAATGAGCCACTAACTATGGCGGCTTTCCCTTGTGCTTGATTGCATCGATCATGGGGCTGGGTGCAAGCTCACGTGCTATACCTTCGTAACCTTCTTCCACACATATAAGAGGAGCACTCGGAAGACCCTTCCGCTCGAAAGCGAGCACCTTCTGGCTTGCATACGGACAAGGGGGCAAGCCTTTTGTGTGCGAGCGCGCACCGAGCGTCTCAGTTCGTCCCAAGCCCACTTTCCGATGAGGCGCGGTTGCTCTCGCGCCTCATCCACGTTTCCCCCCTTTCGGGGGCTGGGCCGTCCTCCCTTTGATCGGAGGTCTGCGAAACTACACCGACGAGCACCTTCTTCTTCCGCCGGGCATGAGGGGCTGTTGACGAGCACCTTCTCTCTCTCTTTCTCTATCTCTTGCTGTGCTTCCGTTCATGAGTGCGCACAAAACAGTCTCGAACAAGTCAGGCTTGTGTTGTGTGGCATTCCCGACTAATGTGCATGGCGCACTTCCAAATCGTACCAACTGTCATACCCTATGGCAATACGAAGCACTGTTGCCCGAGATTGCCCGCCAAAGCAAGCTTCAATGACGGAGGTGCTCGCGCGGCTGGCGGTGCCGGGATGTCCTGCGAGGAAACGAAGCCATTTATGCGTTTGAGACAGAAGATGGCAGAGAGGCTCACAGCCAGGCCTGGCTCCTTCTCCTGGCTCGGAGCAGAGGGTGAGGGGAACAACCGTTTTGCTTCGACAGGCAAGAGCTGAAGCCTCTGAGCTCAGCCAGGGCGAAAGCTTGCCATCGGAGCCACCACCGTACGCCTCGAAGTGTGAGGACGGAACCACTGCCAGGCACGGGCCGGTGCAGGCGTTTGGGGCCTGCTGGAGATCGCCTTCCACAGAGTCGATGAGCTTCATCCAACTCCTTGGACCCGTGTCGTGTCCCGGCTAGGAACCGCCAGGACAAGACATGCTGAGACTTGGCCGGAATGCCATGGAATGCCTTCCCGTCCACAACGCTAAATGATTCTACGAGCTTTGACCCGAGTTTTCTGCTGCAACAACCGTTGGATGTTGTCCTCGGGTCCAGGTTGTGGCTTTCGATTATCTTGTCAGTTCCCAGCAAAGCGAGCCGACGCACCAAAAGACCCCTTGGCCGTCTGCGGCCTGTGGGGATCGTGCTTGGCCGGTCACGTGGCCAAACAATGCTTCTTGCCAACCATCGCACAAGCTGGTTTTATCGTCCTCTCTTAGCCTATTAAGCTCCCGTAATCAATCTATCCCTGCAGCTGCCATGTCTGGGTATTTCTGAGATTGTGTTACAAACCATGCATCCGAGAGAGCTTGGCCCACTTTGCTTCACCAAGTGCAGACAATTTCAGCAAGGCTCTCGTCCAAAGCCCTTCGAAGCTCGTGGTGGAGCTGCAGCAGTCGCTCTCTGAGCCTTGGTATCCGAATCCGACTGAAACAGAGTGCCACAGTTCCGCTGGGGCTAAGCCGGCGTACTTGTCCTGCTTGCTTCAGAAAGCATTTTGTATCTGGCAGCTCCTGCTGCACATACGACAAAAGATGCATGCGTTGAGCAGAGCGGATACAAATCATACATGAATCGAGACATCTCGACCATCAGCGGAGGAGACCACTACTGGTTCAGAAGAAAGTCACTGTCTGCGTGCACATCAGATCAATAATCTTACACGACAAATCCTTCAGCCCCCTTGAGACGAAGCTTCCCTTCGCAAAAAACTCTTTCAGGCTTGCAGGCGATGCCTGGAGCTTAGTCAGCTTAGTACGTTTCAAGACCCACCACATTGCCATCAAACAGGATGACCGTTTTGCGAAAGTGTCATTGCGACTCAGCTTTCTGTGGCGTTCATGCTGCTTCGCCAAAGACTCACGGAAATCTGTCAACGGCAGACTGGGAGTGCTAGCAGGGGCTCAGTAAGATCAGCCATAGGGCTTTTGCTCGATAGCTGACACGGCCAGATCATCCGCAGAACCATTCTTCACCGGCAACGGCTCCAATGTCGCACCTAAGCTTCACACAGGACTACCCGTGTTTGCAAGATTTTGCAAGCTTAGATACACCCTGCTTACAAATCGGCTTCCTGCACCAGAAAGCCTGAGTGAGGATCCAGACTTGCAAACACTACACGGGCTTGGTGGAATCAGGATATCATCGCTCTGCTTGCAGCAAAGTGGGCCGTCAGCCGAATCCAAGCTGAGCGGAGGAGGGAGCAGCAGCGCGTTCGATTGCTTGACGCTGGGCACTGGCATCAGCTTCGCCGTGCAAATGCAAACTGCTTCGATTCCTCTGCTACTGCTAGTGACGGAGGCGCGTTGGTTGACATGACACGTGCTCCACCAGCCCTCAAGGCCGTACTGTGCTAGAGGCAGTGAATTTTTCCAATTCTGTGAAGCCAGTAAAGTTTGTAGGAACTCTGTAGGAGGTTGTACATGCCTGTATGCATGATGCTTAATCCGAGCAGGCTGCAACACACTCTCTCCTGGGCTGCAGAGACTGCCCGATGAAAATCAGTCGCAGGCTCTACAAATCTCGGCAAGTGAGGCAAATGGCTTCTTTTCCACTTCGTAGTGTCGTAGCTACTTTGAGCTGGACGAGGCCATCAGGAAGTATCATCTTCAAAAGATTCAAAAGTCTGCGTGTCGTGTACACTTCCCAGGAGGCCCGCAAGCTCCTGACGAAATGAAGGCACACTGAAGGCACACGAAGTCATGCGCATAAGGCCGCCCTGAGTGCCTCGGTGCTGCTGTCGCTGATTGCCTGTGCAAAGGTGATGCAAGCGGGTCAGAAGGTCGGACGACAGCATCGAAGTCGAGACACCCGCGAGGCCGTGGGCCGCAGTACGGCACATACAAGCAGCAATGAGGCAGCCCCTGCGAAGCGAAGAATCTTCTGAAAATCGGGACGAATGCCATGAGTGGTAGAGCCTAATGTCATCCACAAGGCCGAGTGGTCCTGCCGCGGCGCAGCCCCATCTCACAATCTGTCCCAATCTGACTGTTGCATCGCAGCTGCAGGCTGCAGTAAGAAATCTCACAGCTGAAGTTTCGGGAGAAAACACCACCTGCCCTGATGTCGGCCATCCGACCCCGTGATGTACTGCGCACGAGAAACATTGACACACACACACACAGACACAGACACAGAGCATCGAGAATCCTCCGGAGGCACCACATGCTCACCATCCTGGCCGCAGAGAGACGGGCAGAGCGGAAGGGGTGCATGCAAAGAATGGAGAGGAATGGCCATTCTTTGGAGGAACTCCAGGACATCTGGAGATATCTGGAGAGGGAACCTGATGATTCGAATGCCAGGAGGAAGTTATCCGGGAGCGGCCGGACGCCCCAGGTTTGTACAGCCTACAGCCTGCACATCAGCACATGCGTGATCGCGCCTGGTATAGCGTTGAGAATGGAAGATGCATTCCAAGAAAGCTACCTTCCAGGCTACGGAAGACCGGTCTCAAAATGTCGTGACACTAAAAGAGCAGACAGCAGGCCTACGTTTTGCTGTTCAATTGCGTATCAGTTCTTGCTAGTAGCACTCGCTGACGGACAGCATGTGCAGGGACGGGCGTAATCTCAAGCCAACGCAACACCGTCCATGCCTCCACCCATGCAAACGCCATTGCTCGCACAAACGCCCTCGACGCACTGGCAGACCTCATCGGCAAAGCATGGCAAAGCCGATGGATTGATATGGCCCGATATCTGCAATTTGTAACTGTATAATGCCCGCTATGCTTCGGGCCCGAAGTGCTCTGAGGGCCGAGCTCCGGTTCCGCCAAACGGCGTCGACAGATCTGCACACGTTGTCTTGCCACGGTCTGGCCTGGGCTCGCGAAAGCAATCAAAAGCTCACGATAACACAAACATGACAAACGTGTGTTGGACTTGGTCGGACCCAGAGAGTAGCACGACATTTGCAGCAAGATCGCAAGCCACATTTCGGATCGTGACTGCGCGCCCCATGCGCTGATATCGATTTTGAACAAGCGCGGTGCCGACACTCTCCAATTCCAGGCAGGAAGTAGGGACCCATCATGATGCAACTTGACTGCCTGGCAGAGGTGTGCAACGTGTCGCTGTCAACATCCTCCGCACGTCCAGAAGAATAAACGTGGCAGCCCACAAGCAACAGCGATCTGGGTCTTCTTTGCAGCTCGGTTGTGGGGCTGGCAGGGAGGAATGACAATAACATGCAGCTGTTTAACTGCTGTGACATTATTCGTCTGTTTGAGTCAAGGCACGGTGTTGTTTTGCGAACTCTTCCGGACAGAGAAACGGCAGCCTCGTTGCCACACTGGTGATATGCCATATGCATTTCTCCAAAGCTGCAGACACATAGCCGTCACATCGCCCTTCCCCGACTTGCGAATTGCACATTATGAAAGACAGTAACAAATACCAGCTACCACCCCATGATTCTTGTGTTCTAGCAGAGAAACTCAAGCATTTACCGATTTCCCAGCCATGCAAATTCTTGCAGCTTCGCTTGAGAGCACCATGAGCTGAGTGGCGGCGTCTTGCGGCAGAACTCTGACATATCGAGCCCCGGAAAAGGCATCTGCATTTCGGCCTGAACAGGCCGTGTGTTCGACAGCTTCACGACCTTCACACCTGCACGATCCTGCCCGCCTGTGCCAGTGCCAGCAGGACGAAGTACCAAAATGCCTGCTCGGATCTGTCCAAGACTTGGGATTGCCGGGCCCTGCTGATCTCCGTAGTCCGGTACTTTGGAGTCTCGCATGCCTTGCACTCTGAGGCATGCGCCAACTCCATCTCTTTGCTCCGAGCACAGCATTCAGTCTCGACAACACGCTTCTGTCGAAGACATCTAAACAACCTGTACCAGTACAACCCATTGAGCAATGTCTTCTTCTTTCAGGTCTGACATGCAAGGATCCCCCTTGGCAACGATGCTGCGGGAATTCTGTCGTTATACTATCGACATCTCTGCCGAAAGCTTCAGTGACCAAATGTGGCGTCTTGGAGCTGAAACTAATGCACATCATGGATTCTAGCACTAGGCGGGTCTGTCTGGCTTTTCCATTGCCTGTGTAAGGATGGCCCAGCCCTGACATGCTGCGGAATGGTGTCAATCACTTGTGCTGGCTCTGATGAGACGTTTGCGGCGCTCATGTCGCACATGTTCAGTTTTCCTGATTTTTCACGGAAGATGGACGAAGCAGGACGAAGCACGGATCATGCAAAGATGCTCTTCTCAGCCGATGGCAAACTCTACACAGAGCAACAGCCAGTCCTCAAATCTTGCTTCTCGAATCTGGAGTTTGATGGATCATCACTGAGGCATGCACCCTGTTGCGGGACGATTCCATCGCCCCCGAAGGCAATCCATTTCCATGCTATCAGAGCCATCATTGTGCCCGCCATGCTCTTTCGCAGTCAGGTCTGTACATGACGTTCGTCACCTCGGCCCAATTGTTCAAAGAACATAGTTCTTGCAGCTGCACGACCCAATCTGACAAAGACTGAAACCACTGACCTCAGCACCACAACGTCTCCAATTTCATGTTGACTCACATCGAAAATGCCCACCGCAATTGCAAAATCCGAGGCGGCGAAGCGGACGTAGAAATCATGGCTGTGCTGTGACAGCTGTTCGAGTATTCTCACAGCACTGGTGACCAGGAACCTACCAAACACATTCGTCTAGTCTTGCTCCTTCTACTACCACTGCTCCCACCCCCTACTCCCACTCCCGCTACTACTCCTAGTACTACCACCACTACCACTACCACTACTACTGCTACTACTACTACTACTACTACTACCACCACCACGACCTACCACCTACGACGTACGACCCACGACGTACCACCTGACACCTACCACCTACTACCTACTGACTACAAAGTACTGAGTACTACTACTGCTACCACTGCTACTACTGCTGCTACTGCTACTACTGCGACTAGTAGTACCCTTAATGTCTCCTACTGCTCCTGCTACTCCTACTATTGCTGCACCTGCTACTGCCATTCTCTTGCCTTAGCTCTTGCCCCTGCTCCTTGTTCTTACTCCTGCTCTTGCTCTTGCTTTGTTCTTGCTCTGCTTACTCTTGCTCTTGCTTGAGCTGTTGCATATGCTCTTACTCCAGCTCTTGCTTTTGCTCTTGTTATTGCTCCTGCTCCTGCTGCTCTTGCTCCTGCTCTGCTGTTGCTCCTGCTTTTGCTCCTGCTCCTGCTTTTGTTCCTGCTTTTGCTCCTCCTCCTGCTCTTGTTTCGGGCCCCGAAAGTGCTTTAAAGCGGGAACGGACTGTCCCAGCACAAGCCTAACTGGGGGGGCGAGGGTTCGAAATGAACTTCAAGATTCAGGTGAGGCAGTTGCTTGGTCAAGATTCCGGGTTACGCGCCGAACCCTTCCGAACAAGCACGCGTTGTGAAAATCGCAAGCCGCGCCTTGGGCTTGCAATTCCTGAAGATGATGCGCGACAGCTCCTGGAGCGCGGCTAAGGCAGACCCTAGGCCATGGCCTCATCCTGTTTCAATCCTGTGCTTTCGGAAACGCTGTGGCTCGGGAGGAAAGCTCGAACATACACCGAGACGAGGCCCAACGCCGGCAGCTCGCTGCATTCTTTACTCCCCCGCATGTGCAAATCCGTCAATCCCAAGTCTGGTTAGTACATTCGTAGTCGCTCCGTCTCCACATCACCGACAAAGTCGACCAAACCCACTCGCTGAGCCTGTGAGGACAATAGGTGCTACGCCGTTACGCAACTGAAATGACAGGCAACATAAATCTCGAAGCTGGCCTCCCTGGCATCTATTGGAAGGCCGTCCGTAATCATCTTCCTGTGGGACTGACACCATATTCCGACCGTACGATTCGCAAGAACAAGGGCTTGCGATGGTTGAAACTGTTAGTTAAAACTACAAAGCCAGCCAAGCCAGCCTGATGTAGTCGTCAGAAATGCGCTTCCGCAAGGCGACGGTGACGCACTGCCATGGCATGGGAAGAGAAAACATGGTCTGCAAGCACGGTGATGGCAGCTCTTACCCTCGCGCGATTTCTGCAACTCAAGACATGCCGCGCTGACAGCAGGCATACCACCGACTCGCACTTCGGGGAAGCCGAAAGTTGCATCAGGTTCGGCAAGCGACACCTGAAAAATGGACAGACTGTAACTGTCCCGAAGTTGGAAAGCCTCTTGTCAGATCTATGCGCCCTGCATCTGCAAGGGCAGCAAAAGCAACTGGCAAGCTGCGAACCTGGAGCTCGCAGAGTAGAGA